GCATGCGTGTTCTAACGAACTTTTGTTCTGACGATTTCATTGGAACAAAAAAATGCGAAACAAACAAACAAACATGTATACTATGCAGTGCACTGCAAAGAGAATATGCAATGGCATCTCCTTAACGGAGTTACCTTGGTGAGCTAAGCTGGTGATTGTACGATATTGACAATGGGCACAAATATCGACAATCTTTGGGAGAAAATTACCGACTATCTCGCCGGCCGATCAAATTTCTCCACTGCCAGAAATCTCAACATCTACGCCGCGACATGGACTAAGGAGATTAAGCGCGAACTAGACGCCTACGTCGACGCCGCCAAAATAACCACCCCAAAAATCCTGGGAAAGGCACAAAGTTTCAAGTCGCCTGCAGGCAGCACCCGGGGAGCCGACAAAGAGACCCTGCTTCCGACGTGCAAAGCAATCGAGCATCATTTCCACGAATAAAGCTAAATGCTGGCGGTAAAAGAACACAACGCGATGCTATCGAAGCGATTTCACGTAAGATGTCACTGTGGAAACCACCCCCAATGCCCAGATTCGGAACGATCCGCTCCCCGACACATGAGACGACACCTGCATGATTGGAGAACAGACACCTAGGCATACGCAGACCATCCTGTAGAACGGGGCGTATTTTCTATCCCTCTCGACTGAACCCAGAATTGGCAAACATTCCCCAGCATGCAGACGAAAGTGTACACAGCACCCAAAATCTCTACATGCACCTCCAAACCGACGACCCTGACATCGGAAGAACCTCGGACTGCGCTCATCGACGCCGCCCTCTTTGTCGACAACAGGCTTGCAGAGTCAGAAGATGAATCATGACGAACCCCCGGGGTGTTGAGAACTGCTGCTATAACAACAACATGGCGCCTCCTTGGCCGAGTCGCAAAACGACAAAGATTGTTTAACCATATCGCCAGCTTATGTAGTTGCCCTCGTAGTTTGCATTATCCTGTAAAGATACCTGTCAGTATTATCAGTTCTCTGTTTGTAGGCTGATTAGATGTTGTAATCTCTTCATGGTATATCCACCCTGTTAAATGTTTGAATTTTGCAGCCCTCAAGTGTTGGGCCAGGTAAGTTTGCTCAATGTGTTGTTCTCCTTCCGCAGTTCTTCCTTAATAGTATAGGAACACACAGCTAGGATGGGGGCCGATTGGAATGTTATCTGCAGCCTCTCTTGCAGGACAGTCCACGTTCACATTTGCCTCTATTGCAATGTGACTTGATATCCAATCTAGCTGAATCTAATTGTACCTACTAAGGGAGTTAATGTCGCCAATGCACTCAGGGACAAAGGAGGATCTGATTAAGGACCCCACCTCGTCACTGTTCTGCACCGACAGGAAGAGTTGGATCGTCAGCTACCTGTGCGGCAGGAATCATGTGAGAGAAGGCCTCTAAACCTGTACACTAAGTTCCACAATGCGGCTTAATTTTACCATAATCCGTAACACTAAAGTTCTAACTAACTAAAATCGCTCATTTCATTCCGGAAGTCACATTAGTTGCGTACGCCGATGACTGCTCCATCGCGGCAATGGTTAACGACCTGCCATCACTCAGTGCTTCATTAAACTCTTTCCTCAGATACCTTACCTTTTTTTTGTATATATCCCACGCCAAGTCCACAGCCGCAATGTGTAGGACATGAAAACAAATTAAGCTCTTCCTTGACATTGGTCTTACCTCTACAAAGAGGTAGGCTGGGCCACAATACCAAACGAAACCTACACATGAAAATAACGGAGCTGACATCATTGGGCGGAAATAAGTCCAGTCATAGCGGCGACCCATCTATCGAGGAAACGTCTCTTGCTTAGATGCTCCAGAAAGGAAATCAGTTGGTACTTTTTTAATCTTCCGCCAGTGCACTCCTGTGCCGAACAAGTTGACCTTGTTTGGATATTGCGGAAGTTTTGCGACAAAGTTTTCGAAGAAGGATATAACTTTTTACCTCAGGAATGATTTAAAACTGCATACGTTTTCCGAACGGAAGGAAGAGATATATTCGAAAACTTGAATCGGTAAGCACCGATTGGTAGAACCCGCCTCAATCCATTCGAAACGCAGTCTCCTCCCGAGAAACGTAATAACAACTTGGTTTCTCATAAAGCAACAGATTGAGTCCCAGGAGTGTATTAGTTATACCTCTAATTTTAAACGTATATACATACTTACAGTTGTCCACAAAATAATAGGAGTGCGATATTTTGACCAGTTTTGGCTATTTGTCTTTTGTTTATTTAATGTTTATTATTTTTTTATAAAAGCCTAGCTGGCTATACAACAAACACCATATAAATTTAGATTTTAAACTTTGTATAAAAATTATAAAAATTTTGCAATTTTTCACCCAAATTTCAAACTTTTTAATCAGAATCTTTAGAAAAAATTCTGGTATGCAGTTTTGTAGCACATTCAATTCTAGTCTGAAGAAGTGCAAGTTTCAAGCGGCTAAAAAATTCCGTTGATTTTTGGCAATATTTTTGCTGGCAGTGTCCTCCATATAAAAGAAAATTGTCGACATAAGGTGCGTTCGCGTAGCTGTTAATTGTTCAAGTTTAAACAAAACTTACAGGTTTTTGCGTTCGCGTACGCAAAAAACTTGCAAAGTAGGGGAGATTGAGAGAGCAAAGTGATATTTCATTTTGAGGGGAAGCTGTTAGTTTCTGTTGGAAAAATTTTTGCCAACAGCAATTTGCCAACAGGGAAACAGTTGATCAAAAACAGCTGGTTGGCATTTACGCAAATCACAAAATTGAATTTGATGGTTTGGAAGATAAAAATTACAAAATGCGACTAACTAAACTTGTAAGAAATAAGTAGTTATTTGTTTAATCAATAAACTGTGGCAGTATAACACTTTGCGATGACTTTTCGTACGTTTTAAATTTTACACTTTTGTATGTAAACAAAAATTAAATCAGCTGTTCGTCTAACTTGCAAGTTTCTGCAAATTTTCTGTTCGCGTACTATTTTGGATATTTCTCTCTTGTGAGAGAACAGATGACATTTCGCCGGAATTTGGCAGTTGGTTGGTTTCTGCTGGAGATTTTAAACGAACAACGTATGGAAAAAACGTGAAACACCTTTAACCAAAAAAATTCTCAAAAATCAACGAAATTTTTTAGCCGCTTGAAACTTGCACTTCTTCAGACTAGAATTGAATGTGCTAAAAAACTGCATACCAGAATTTTTTCTAAAGATTCTGATTAAAAAGTTTGAAATTTGGGTGAAAAATTGGAAAATTTTTATAATTTTTATACAAAGTTTAAAATCTGAATTTATATGGTGTTTGTTGTATAGCCAGCTAGGCTTTTATAAAAAAATAATAAACATTAAATAAACAAAAGACAAATAGCCAAAACTGATCAAAATATCGCACTCCTATTATTTTGTGGACAACTGTACATATAAAATGGTGTTGGCATAATCTTTCGCTTAGTCCGAATTTGGAACGACCTCCAGAAGCCGTTTGATACCAAATTAGTTTGCTGACTTTCGTGCAACTTCGTTAGTCTGATGTTCGAAAGCGTAATATGTGGTGCGAATCTGAACTAACTTGGCATCATATAAGGCGAGAGTACAATGTTAATGGCGTTCGCAGATAACATTGATATAATTACACTCAAAACCACAGCCGGACAAAGCAAGGTAACGCCTGGCAATAAAGAGACATATCGTATCGGGAAGTGCACCGAAATTGGCAGATAAGTAGATATAACGCGAAGCTTTAAGGACCTTCTGCTTACTATTAAATTAAGGCGCAATTCGCAGTAACGATAGCCTGGAGATAAAATGAAGAGCAATTTTTGTGCTACTTTGGGTTCGGTAGGAAAATGCAGAACCTTCTCTAGATGGACAAAAATTAAACTATACTGTACCGTTAGACAATGTCGATTTGACATGAGAAACCTTTAAGGACATTCGATAATGAAAAAGATGGAATGTTGATATTTTAGAGCTTGGTAACGAAATGTGGAAGCAAAGCGTCTGAAAATACATACTTTGGAAATATCGAGAACAGAAGGAAATTTTATCAATTAGTAGGAATAAATTAAAATTTCATTCAGGCTAGAACTGAATGAAATTGAATTGGGAAAGGCCGGAAACGCAAAACGCTTTTCCAAGCAAACAGGTGTTGTGGCTTATTATTATTGAATTTTTGACCTAAGGAAAGGTTAAAGCGGAAAAAGTCAAACAGGTCGGCAAGGGAAATAAATACTCCGCTGCAAACTTAATAGACTCCATAAGGATTCTTAGTAGTTCGTTGAGGGAAAGAAAATGAAGCTAGTCCATACTCAATACATTTAATTAGAAAATGTACCTTTTCATTCTGGCGAAGGCCGGACAGTTGCAAAAAAAATGCTCCCTACCGGGGACAACAACCAGTTCAGGTAGGGCAACATCAAGTTCGGGTTTGGCACCCTTAAATTTCGTGTATCTGGTGACAGGCCAAAAACTACAAGGGGGTAAAATTAATTTGCATTACTCCATTTCGGCCCCTCTCGACTTGATGAAGCTCGTCATTGAAAACATTTTGCTCTTGGGCGGTAAAGTCGAAGGCAATTCGGAAATGTCGTGAAACGCTTGATTAACGTCAAAACCTCTCTTTGTTGGGTTTCTGTACCTACTTACACTCACAGAGCGCATTCACAATGGGCAAATCTGCCTCCGAGTGGAAGTACGAGTCATTCGTGCGCGCCTTCCTAACCTAACCTAACCTAACCTACCAGCGGCTTGGCTATTCATGTCCGTTTGTTTATAAATATGCTCTGTTACCATTACAGGGCCATTCTGGCAAAGATAGTTTCAAGCCTTTGTAAGACTATTAAAAGAGAGTATGAAAGGTGGTTTAAACGATTTTTTTAATTTAATTAAATTTTTGAATACTTAATTTTTTTAACCAATTTTTTTTTATTCTTATATATTTTGTTTAAAACACAAACTTTTTTTAATTTCTCTTAATTTTAAAGAGGTTATTTTTTTGTATAATTTTGTTTTTATTTTAAAAATTTACTTTCTTTTAGTCTTTAAATTTTATTGTTTAAAAAAATATATATTTTTTTTAAATCATGATTTAACAACTTATTTTCTGTTTTTAAATTAATTTTCTCTTAATTTTTAGATTTTATTTTTTAAAATAAAAATGTTTCATTAAATATTTATCTATATGTATATATATATATTTATAGTTGTCGTTTTTTTTAATTGTCGTTTCTTTTAATATTTAGATTTTATTGTTTTAAAAAGAAAAACATTGGTTTTAATATCAATTAATTTTTAAGAACTTATTTTCTTTTTTAAATAATTTTTTTCTTATTAATTTTATTTTTCGTTTTATTTTTAGGTAATTATTGTTTTAAGGGCTGCCTGCCGTTCTCAAGAAAAACCACATGAAATATTTTACATTACTTCTTTTGCTTGAAAAGGTACTTTGCTGTTGCTGTAAATTTTCTTGAAAATAAATATAAGCGCATTTTTTCTTGAGAGCTGCATACACAAATGTTGATAGAAGGAAATTTCTTTTTCATTTCTTGTGCGTAAATTTTTATGAATTTTTCGATTTTCTTGAGATCCGCGATCAGGTCTTAAAATTATATTTTCTTAATTTCATTTTACGTATTTATTATTTTTTTAATTCAATTTATTTTATTTTTTTAATTTAATATTATTGGCAATTATCTTACGAAAGACTTTGTGGTGTGAATCGAAAATAGCTCCGCGGGAAAACCTCCGCCTCTAACATCGTTGATCCCGAGTTCAAATCGCGGTGGAGGCAGTTGTGGTCTTCAGATTTAATAAATTTAAATTCTTGAGTGCCGCTTAAAAATTGAAGAGAAATGATTAAATTTAATATATATAAAAAAAATAATAAATAAATAAAAATTAAATAAAATGCAATCTGTAGAAGAAAAGAAAAATATAAAAAAAAATCGAGTTTCTGATAAAAAACTTATTGTCGCAGATCTGTCCAAAATGAAACCAGTTTAGAACTAGTTCAAAAGTTCTGCAGAGGAGATAAATTTCCACTGTGTAGGACATCGTCATGTAAAAAGAGACAGTTGAAAGCATTGCATTGGGATAGATCGAGAACCAGTACCGCCTCTTAATGAGCTAGTTCTGAACTAGCACGATTTTCTGCAGGGTACGTACATATATCGCGCGTGTGTTCTTTCCTCTGTGTTGGTCATACACAATGGGGCCAGGCGCCAAGCGCAACACATTTTCAAATTGCCTATAACATTTGGCATTTGTTTGGTACAGCTTTGTATTTGCATTTATCCAAACTCAAGAATCTAGAAAGCGTGGCAGGAAGAGTGCAAAAGCTCACAGGCAATTGGCAAAAGCAAAAGCATTCTTCGGTTATCTTCGTTTTTTGCGTGGGACATTAGTTGTCCGGTGAGCAATGGGAGGGAAGGAAGGTGCGGCTGCTGAGTGGATGATATATTGGGAGCGCCTATAAAGCGCTGCGCTCGGGAGAGGCGTTATCTGTGAGTACTCGTACTTAAATGTGTATGTGTAAGTGGCCCCTGCGGATTTGGGCTGATTGAAAATACCGAAACTCAAAAGCGGCCAAGCTTTTGGCCAAAACGAAATCCAACAACAATAGCTAATGCGGTATTCATGTGCACACAAGAACAGTGATTAGAAAGCTTTTCTTTTCGTGGCTATGTCAGTGGTATTGCGAAAGCGCTCACTTTTCTTTGTAAAGCAGAAAGAATGTATCCACAATTGTGAGCAAGTCGGAGCACAAACCAGGCGTATGTACATGCTGGTGGTTGTTGCTCGCGGTCTGCGTCGCCTATCGCCGCCTATCTGCCACTGCGACTGGAAGTTTGTAATCGCACAGAACGCGCGGTGCCACAGCTGCTCGGGCTGTGCTCCTTGTTGTGCATTCCGCTCGGTATCAGTTTGATTCGCTCTACCATAGCAAAACGGTCGGGTTCAGGTGGTCAGTGGCCCGCTGGGAGTACTACATTTGGTATAGAGTGCTGCTTGGGCAAGATAATTTCCAAAAAAAAAAGAATAAAAAAATTATAAATGAGGAAACTAAATATGAAAAATTTATGAAAGAAAATCTGTACTAACCAGCCAGGCAAAAATGTAAATGACCACGAAATCTGCAATGTGTATAAGCATGTGTGTGTAATAGTACATAGATAGAGTAGTTCGACGAAGTGAGTACACAATTTTTTGAAAATTCGAAAAAATCTCAAATGGTGCGAAGAAGCAGCTAAAAATTTTTTGTGAGTGCGAAAATTAAGTATGTATACGAAAAGAAAAAAAATTACAAAAAATGTATATAGTGTGAAGAAAAAATTTGCGTGTGTATGTGTGTAGCGTGAAAACGACGCTGATTGGCGCGACACGGCGCGAAGTTAGGGCAAGCCAGTGGGTAGCGGTGAGGAGCACTTACATATGTATGTATGTTTGGGCATAGGTGTATAAAAAAAAATAACAAAAACATACGCACACACTGATTAAAATTGAATATATGTAGACAAGTGTACGCGTAAATATGTATGGGCATGTGTACGTTCTTACCCCAAAATACGCGTCGCACTCGGCGGAAAATCTGTACCCATTGTCGTTGGACAATGGCGGCAGCAGCAGCAGCAGCAGCAGCGTCGTCGTCGTCGTCGTTGTGGCGTTGGCGTGTGCGTTGGCGCTCGCTGGCTGCTTCATTTACATATCGAAAATTTATGTACATATGGTACCTACATACATACATACATATATATTGGAATATACATACCTGTATGCATCTTTCTGTTTCGCGTGCGCGCGCAGCAAACGACTGCGCTGCTGACGGACGATAAAAAATTGCCCAAGAGATCATTCGTTCTGCTGGAAAGTACAAGAACTGAAAAAGCAGCAACAACTAAATATGCCAAGATCGGTGTGCATTTTGAATTGAATCCAAAACATTCAAAATGTATTTTATGAAAATGGAGATCGGCTTGTAAAAACTGAATTTTTTAACGAGCACTAACGATAAGTGTATAATAAAATACTTTTTAATAAAAAACGGACTTAAACTATTTCCATAGTAGCCACTTTAAAAATCCTCCAATCGAATTTACTTTTCACCTTCGCCCGCTAGACGAACATGTAGCTATGCACCTATGTAGTTGCAAAGCTACACATCTGTTTTTATGGAAAATGTATGTGAAATATTTTTAGTAGAAGTTTGCTCCTCTACATTTCCATGCTGCTCGTCTTTAGGTCAACACAACCGATTCGGTATTGTGCATGCAGTTGCTGCGACGTCCAACCACCTTTGGCTTCAGCGGGCAAAACAAAACCTTAACAGCCACATATACATACAACAGTTAGGAGCAGCATTAGAATTTGCGCTATCTTTGAGTGCGCTCTCGCAATAAATTAATTGGGGAGCTTTCGCTCGACCCATGTACACTCGCTCTCTTTCTCTCTCTCTCTCTCACCGTTTCCCTCTACCGTTATAAGGCTCCTCTTACCTTCCTCTTCAACACCTCCAGGAGAAAACCGAAAAAATCTGCTCGCACAAAGTGTTTGCCGCTCCAATTTTTAAATACACAACCATTGGAAAACAACAAACACAAGAACAAGTATGAAAAAAGCAACAACAACAGCCTATAAAACAGTAATAAAAAAATATTAGAATATTTGAAAAATTATTACAAGAATTAAAAAAAAATCTGCTTTACTCTATTGTTCTACTATTCAACGTCGGATTTTCAAAATGTGTAACTGGAAAATATGTATATCGAGAAAATATATCCCAATTTTTTTATCAAAAATATTTTTTAAAGAAACTATATTTTATAGGTCCGCCAAAGACCCTAAAATATGCAAAGGGCGACCATAAAAAAATCTTTAGTATTAAAAATAGTTAAATAAACAATTGGATACTATTAATGGAAAACTCCTGACGAGAACCAGAGTTTTCCGATCGAAAAAAATTGATTTTAAAGAATTATATAACATTTCTACGAAAGTTTTTCCCATATGCAATGAGGCGTATTCTTGTTTTCGTACGAATCGAAAATTTTAAATTTTTGTATAGAAAATGATAGGAAAATTTCATGATTTTCGATTCGTACGAAAACAAGAATACGCCCCAATATGTACATGGAAAAATTTGAGCGCTTTGAGCGACCTTTACATATATTTTGATTTAAAAAAGGGGTATTTTTTCGATATTGAACAATCTTAGGGGGTGGGAGAATTAAAATTCCGACTTTAATTTTTTTTGGACCACCCTAATGTACATACATATGTAGTATGATTAGGGTGACCAGATTTCTGTGGCCAAAAAAATTGGGACATTTCTAAATCGTCGAATCCAATTTCGTTTTTAGAAAAAAAAGACATAACATCTTTTAATACAGTTTTATTTAAAATAAAACGTACAAAATGTACGGTGGCGAGAATTTAAATAGGGAAAAGACATTTTAGCAAGTTTTGGTTACTTTTTTTGTTTAAGGAATGTTTATTATTTTTTTATGAAAATATAACTTACTATCTAAAAAAACATGTACGTCAAAATTTAAAACTTTAAAATTCGACGAATTTTAACAAATGTTCATCAAAATTTTAATCAGATTTTCTAGAATTGTCTTGAGTATGCAGTTTTCTAGCCCATTAAATTTTAGTACAGTAAAGGTCACGTTTGAAGTAGTACCCTCGATTTTAGCGCAATTTTTTGTTCGCGCATTTTTTTCCATCCAAAGTACTATGTTTAAATTTTTTTTGTATGGAGAAAATGAGCAACACCTTCAAAAAAAAAAAAAAATTATCAAAAATCAAAGGTACTCATATTGTTTTTAAGAAATCTAATTAAAAAGCTGAACATATTGATGAATTTTTGCCGAATTTTGCTAATTTTTGTACAAAGTTTGAAATCTTGACTTACATGGTCTTTGTTAGATAACGAGCTACACTTTCGTAAAAAATAATAAACGTAAATACTAAACATTAAATAATCGAGAGGAATAGCCAAATAATGCTAAAATGTCTCTTCCCTATTTATACTTTCGCCACTGTATCTACAGCTTATATTTTTTATGTCAATGATTTTTTCGAGGGAATTAGTATTATATTTTATAATTTCACTAAATTCAAGTTAGAAACGCAGTTATACGTCCCGACTTATAAATATAATAATCAGTGGGACAATTTTCTGAAAATCGGTACGGTCCCGTCAAAATCGGTACGAATGGTCACCGTAAGCATTGGTACTTCCACGCCACAGCAGCTGATGCTGTCAACGTCACCGTCGTCGTCATAGCATAACATAAAAATTCCAGCAGCATCAGAGCTGCCTTCGCCTTCAATTGCCACCGCCGCCGTCTTGTCCCGCATGGCGCCGCCAGTCTATATGCTCCGCCAAATATACACCCACATACAAATGTATGTAGCTATGATTTCACATCACATACATATGCTTCTCCATTCATGACCGTAAAAAAATCTGCCATTCAGCCTTTGAGCATTACCATACTTTGCTTCCAGGAAAGGTTTTCCCCCCACCTGCTGCTGCTGCTTACTTCCTTCCAAGCACATTTTCTGTACTCACATCGAATTTTATAAAGGCATGTGATTGTTAGTTTTGCCCTTTTTGTTCGCTTTTGTGCATGTGCTTTTAAGATTTTCATTTTCTGGGAAGACATTTTTCCTACTACATATATCGATGAAAGTTATCAATTTGAAAGTGTGGTGGGCTAAAAAAAATAGCATTTTGTGTGCGCGTGTTTGTGGGGCTTTTATGGAAATATATTCAAATGCTAAGATAACGGTATACACACAACTTGCATATGTATGTGCATATTTACATATACATATGTATGTCTGTAAATACATGCACACATACTACACAAACATACTTCCATTCAAGCTTATGCTAAGAATTTTTATGGGCACACTATGCAAACCATTGAAGATTTTCACGATGTAGTTTTCTGCCTATTGGCAATACATTTTCATTTCTTGCATCGTAATTTTTAAATTGATTTAAAATTAATTATTTAACTTAAAAGCTGACTGGAGTATAATACGTATTTATAATATATGTTGTTGTATTATATTTACCCCCACATACTACATTTTGCCATAAATAGTTATTTTTTCGCTTGCTACACTGCGTATGAGTAACTTTTTTGTGTCTGGGTGTGGAGTTGGCGACCCTTTCACCCAGGGCTTCGGAGAAAATGTTGAACAAATTGCCAAGTTAATGGAATAGAATGGAAATTTTTTAACACGGTTGTTTTCAGTGGCAAAAAATTATAATTTGAGTAAATTTATTAACTGAAATATTTTTTTATTTTAATTTTTGTGGGAAAACGATAATAAAAACAAAATATTGAAAATTTTTCTTTAAGAAACTAGGGAGCAAATGAATTTATTTAGCTCTTTGCTTCAGCTCCGCTCCAGCTGAAATCCTTTGCTCCTTTGCTCTACTCCGTTCCGAAGCCCTGCTTTCAACTCGTAACTCGCTATACTGAAAACTTGAAACTATTAAAATATTTTATAGAAATGTTTACAGTTCCGTAAAAGCATTTCTTACTATGTTATAATCAGTGAAACAAATTAACGGTGAAGAAAGACTTGAGCGTTAACCCGAACAAAACAGAGCTTCCTTCTCTTTACAAAGAAATACAATATCCTGCACCACGACGCAGAAGCTAGGGGAATCCGAAAAATATCTAGGCTAGTACTGGACAAAAAGCTGAACTGGGCACTAAATGTAAAAGAAGAGGGCAATTGGACAGTGTTTGTTAGGCCTATTCTACTCTACGGGTTCTTGGTAGTATGGTGACCAAGTACGTACTAAATACCCAATCGAAAGCAATGTGCGTTTTACTCAATATTCTGCCAATCAAAACTGTTGGAAAACAATCAGCGGCGTACCCTGCCTTGAGACTGCGGGAACTACCCGGCTGGTGAGACACTCAGGACGGCCACACAGCAATCTTAAAGAACGTAAATATACCGGACACGCATTACTGTGCACCAAGATTGAACTTCACAAAAAAGCGTAGGATTTTCACTCCAGATAGAAAATTCTGATCAGGAGGAGTTCCTGATGAAAAGGGATCACTTCACCTCTACACCCATGGTTCTAAGCTAGACGGCATAAATCATTTCGCTTACCCAGCCACTTCAGCGTTTTTCAAGCTGAGGTCGCTGCTATACAGGAAGCGGTTGAACACTTACGTCTAAGAGAAGTCATATGTAACGATCTCTTCATCTACTCAGATAGTCAGAAAACACTCAAAGCCCTCGGCTCGGTCACATGCAGTTCCAAAACCGTAGTGGATTGTAGCAGATCTCTAAACAAGATGGCTAAGCAGTCTGCGCTTCACTTGGTATGGGTTGCAAGGCTTAGGAGAATGTCAGGCAATGAAAAGGCAGACGAACTTGCAAGAGAGGGCACATCTGCTCCACTTTCGCAGGCCTGGGTGGGATTAGGCATGCAGCTGTTAGATCCAAGCTCATTTTAAGGGATATGTCTCTTAAACTAGCAAGGGAAGGGTGGGCTGGGCTCACCACTTGCAACAATACAAAACTTATGTGGCAAAAATGAAATGGGAATCGGTCGAAGGCTCTCGCCATGCTGAACAGAGGGAACTTAGCCACAGCAATGTGCCTGCTAACAGGAACGAATCGAAAGTCACGCTACTTCTGCAGAAGCTGCAGAGATGAATAAGAGCCAGAAGCATTGCGGCACCTGCTATGCGAGTGTCCCGCATTTTGCAAAAGACAAGTAAAGTTCTTGGGTTCATACTTTCTCGAAGGTTTAAACGACATAGCCGAAGCAGAAATATGCAACTTTTGGATTTCGCAACTCCACAGAAAATATGGTAAAAATGTAACGAGAGATATAAAAGTGAAGATATAAGAAGCTAATAGCCAAAGGTATTAGAAAAGGTAATTTTTCATACTGAAGAGCCTGGAGCGCAGGCTTGAAAAGTTGGCTAACTGATTGGACCTAATCAATGTGGATTTACGCCAATAGGATCGACACGCACCATCTATTCGTCGACTTCAAAGCCGCTTCCGGTGGCACTAAAAAGAGTTACCTATACGCCACGATGTCTGAAGTTGGTATCCGATGGTTGGCGCTGGCGCATACCGCGATGATGGAACGATGAGCTTCATGAGCTTTACAATGATATAGACATACTCAGTGCAGAGAATTAAAATACAGCCGTCATGCTGGCTTGGTCAAAGTATTTAACGCGGATCGCGATGCAGGTAACGAAGGGAGAGGAAGGCCTCCTCTGCGTTGGAAAGACATTTCCAATTGATGTGCTTTCTTGGACTCGGCCAAAATCGCTTAGGCGGTTACAGCGCAAATCAAGAAGCAGAAGAGAAGTGGTTCACAGAAAACAACTCCCACTCCGCACTGTTTGAACGATCTGTCTGTAGACGATGTATCGGGCGGAGATATCAAGTTCACGGTCCTGGTTAGTTCTCGACTTCGAAGGGCTTGTGGAATTCTTTAGCAGTAGTGCGTTGTTTCGCAGTATGCGGCCCTTAAAATCTCTGTCTAATTTTACATGATTATATTCCTTCCGTCAGCGAGTTGAACATACCAGGCAACCGTAACATAAGATCGGACGTAGCTATGTACATCCAGTGTATAACTTTTGAACTAAGACTTCATATCTTCCCGAAAAGTCGCTTGCAAGAGTAAAAGGCAAAACTTTGTTTCCTTATTTTTTCCTTAAGATTTACACTGCCGGCAAAAAGTATTGGCACAGCAAATTTTTCATAATATTGCTATTTTTTTCTAATATTTTTCCGCCAATTTTTTATAAAAATAGGGTTCATTCTACAACAAAGAATATAAAAATATAATTCCTATACCTTGTGCAAAACTCGCGAAAATTCAGCAAATTTTCAACTTTTTAATCAGGTTTTTGAGTATGCAGTTTTGCAGCCCATTAAATTTTTGGTAAAAAAATGAAACTTTGGAGTTAGTCAAAAATCGCATTGATTTTTGAGAATTTTTTTGTTGAAGGTGTTTTGCATTTTTATACCCGAGCGCACTTGTGCACAAGGGTATTATAACTTTGTTCACATAACGGTTGTTTGTAACAGGCAAAACGAATCGAGATAGATATAGACAAATGTATACATAAATGATCAGGATGAAAAGAGAAATCGATTAAGCGGTGACTGTCTGTCCGTCCGTCCTTCCGTCTGTCCGACCGTCTGTGCACACGATAACTTGAGTAAAAATTAAGATATCTTAACGAAACTTGGTACGTGTACTTCTTTCTGGCATAGGACGGATGTTATTGAAAATGGGCAAAATCGGACAATAACCACGCCCACCTCCCATATAACAAAATTTTGAGAAATACAAAAACTGCGATATTTTAGTAACTACTGAAGATTATTCACTCAAAATTTATATTTACAATACTTTTAAGAGGAAAAATAAGAATATTATAAATTTTTGAAAAATGGGCGTAGCCACGCCCACTTATGGTTACGTGTGTATATCTTGGCAATGGCTGCACCGATTTCTTCCAAACTTGGCACAGTTGTTGGCCTTGGTGCAGCATACCAAATGGCCGAGCATTTTGTAAAATAACCACGCCCACATCCCATATAACGGTTATTTGGAGAAATACGAAATCTTTGCTAAATCAGTAAATATTAAAGCTACTTTATTCAAAATTGATGCTTGCAACAACTCTTTACCAAGAAAACGTTTATGATAAAATTTTGGAAAATGGGCGTGGCACTAACCACTTATGATCACATATATGTAACTCGGTAACCGTTCTACCAATTTGTACCAAACTCGGTGTGGTTATTGTGCTTGCCACATAAAAGCAAAACGTTGAAAATTATTGAAATCGGACTAAAATTACGGCTTTTTATATAACGGTAAACTTTAGAAATGCTTGAAACTTCAATATTTCGAAATTTAAGGACGCTAATTTACTCAAAATTGATACACCCCGGCTTACCATGTAGCGGTAGCTTTGGGAAAGGTGAAAAACATATATTTAATATTTGCGCCGGGTATTTAATGTTCGGCTCCGCCCGAACTTAGACTTTCTTACTTGTTTCCATATAAAGTATTTTCGAAAACATTTTTTTGTATGGAAGAGACTGCGTGAAAAAATTTAAAAAAATCAATGGCGATTCCTAGCTACTTAAAACTTGTAGTTTATTATATAATGATTGGGCTACAAATCTGCATACTCAAAAAATTCTAAAAAATATGATTAAAAAGTTGAAAGTTTGCGCGAAAATTTGCTGAATTTTTGTGAGTTTTGCACAAAGTTTAGGAATTATATTTTAATGTTTTTTGTTGCAGAATGGACCATATGTTTATAAAAAATTGGCGGAAAAATATGAGAAAAAAAATGTTTAATATATTGTGAAAAGATTGCTGTGCCAATACCTTTTGCCGGCAGTGTACATACTTTCCAACTCAGCTTGTGACCTTTAATTTAATTTGATGCTTCAATTTTGGCAATTCAAACTTAGAGACTTCAGTTCTGGCATTATTTCTGTGTGTTTCTGGGTTTACCCTAAGTTCATATTGCTCAGCCCATCGGCCTAGCTTTTACGTATGTATATATGCATATCTATGCATCAAGTATTAGTAGTTGTATGCATCCATATCTACATCTGCAAACCTAATGCTTACGTGCTTTAATTTTTAACCGACTTCAAAAAACGAGAAGGTTATCAAATCGTTGGAAGTTTTTTTATTTTTCTTTGTTTTTTTTTTATGTATTTTTTATGTATGCATAACTTTGGACCACGTCAACCTTTCGGTGGGAAAGGTAGTGTCTCACAGGTGGTCGCATACTAATTTGGTTTAGATCCGATCATTGGATCATGAAAAAATTAACGGTCCTCCTAAATTTTTATGTTTAATTATTTATCGGATAGATTTGCTTGCTAGTTAAATGTATATTCATGCGTGTGCGTACCACAAGAGCGTAAAATACGCCAACGAAATAAACGACCAAATACGAGAGTATATTAATAAAAAAATACAAATCGAAAGCAACAGCAATCACAACAAAACGACAACATACGAGTAAACCAATATTCAGTCAGTAAATGAAAGAAAAATATTGCAAGTGCAAGTGGTTATGGCAAAAATTGCAAATGAAACCAAAATGCAACCAAAATCGAATTAAATCCAAACGACAACTGAATAAAATGAAAGTGTAAAAGAAAAAGCAAAAGCCAAAGCAAGAGTCAAAGTAAAATTTTATCGAAATTGTCAACAGTGCACAAAGCCTTCCATGGAATAACGTTAACACGCCAACATTCTCGAAAAAAAAAAACAAAAACAATCAAACCACAACACCAAAGCACACCGCCCAGCCGTAGCGGTAGCAGCAGCAAGCAATATGCTCATACTGATAGCATTTATTTGAGTATTGAATCAACGGCGAATGCAACGACAACAATAACACGCAAATCGATTGCAGCAAAGTGATTAAATGCGTCAGTGAGTCAGTCGGTTGACGTGTCATTCAGTTGGCGCATCACTCAGCTATCCCGAAAAGGTCTCAGTTGCGTCCACTTACGCGTGCGTGCACAGCATATTTCTCCAGGTGAGTACTATGTATGTACATACAAATTTGCCACCGGGCAGTCAGCCAGCCCGGCAACCAGCAAGCTGTTGTTTGCCTATTTGATAGTCATTTAACGTCATTCATTTACTCATTTGCTCGATTGATATTGCAATTGTCAGTGCGCGGTCAGTCGTTGGTCGTCGATGCAATATGCAAACCACAAATACGGTAATCGGGCGCCTCAAAATTATTGGCTGTTGGCTGCGTTGCTTGGTTTACTGTGTTGAATTGTATTTGGTTTTTAATTGAGTTGTTTGTTGAGTAACTCAGACTTGGTGAATAGTTAATTGAAAAATGGGAATTTTAAATGAGAATATTTGTATTTTTATTTTGAAATTTGTGGTATGGAAAGGTTGGAGTGTTGAAGATAGAACAAATTTTACAATTGAGTGATAGCACAGGCATGCGAGGGTTTCCCCCTTAAAACCCTAATTCGCAATTTGGGTATATATCACTGAATTACGAAAAAATAATAAATCACATGAATTTTCCGTGAAAATTGCACTTTTAATTTTTCTTAGTGTTACCACCTATGACTAGCGTTAACTTCGAGTTTTCGTTGGCCTTTCGAATTTAAATAGTCTCTTTATGGGTATTTTTCAGGGACCGAACATAACAGTTATTCATGAAAGCTGTCATGGAAAAATTCACTATGAAGGAAATGTTTTACAACTAAGTGCTACCTACCAATCGATTTCTTTTTTCACCGAGACTCAAATTTTAAAATGAATTTTTATAATAAAAAAAAAACAATTATTTTAGATTTTTATATTATAAATCGAAAATAACAATAACTTTTTATTTTTATATTATATCTAAGACATAACTGTTATCGACGACTTTTATTTATAAAAATCAGTCAGTTATTTTTACTTTTAAAAGTCATCAATATAAATCAGTCACCGGCTTTTATTTTTTAAATCATTCGTATAAAAGTCATTAACATTTTTCGTAGTTAAGAAAGTGTTAGGAAAAATGTTTACTAAGACTTATACAAATGACTTTATAAGTATGATTTAAAAAATAAAGTTCAGTGACTGATTTTTATTTATGACTTTTATAAATAAAAGTCTTTGATAACTGTTATCTAAGACATATAATTTAAAAATCAAAAACAACTGTGAACAAATACCCATTTTTTTGTCGAATTTAAGGCCGTTAGAGTAGCCTAACTGGAATTTCAAAACAAGTGAAGATTTAGCTTAAAATACATTACCAGAATCGGTAACATCACGTAGGTACCATGAACTTTTTAGTAAAAGACTGTAATTATTAATTATATATCCTAACTTCTCATATTACTTATTATGTTCCTAAATTTTAGATCTCCACAAAACTTATATGACTAGGTAGCGTTACGTTGAGCTCTTACGGACGGCTTCTTCAATCTAATGTTGGACCGTTTAAGTTTAGGTATACTCTGTTCGTATGTAAAATTGTATAATATTTTTTAGTAATACAAGTATTTACAATTGAATAAAAGTACAACGGTTGTGCTCGCGTACATAATGGACCACATGAATAAACAATAGTTTGGGGCGAAAATCCGCTTTTTCAGAATTTCGATTGGTAATAGCAAAAATATGGTTAATTTTGCTCTAAAAAGAATATGTGTGAAAGATGACAATTTTTGGTCAATGTCTTAGGCTCGCCCAATGTATTAATCAATGCATTTATTAAATTTTATTTTTTGAGCACATTGAACTTTGGAGGACTTGGGCGAGCCTAAGATATTGACCAAAAATTGTCATCTTTCACACATATTCTGTTTAGAGCAAAATGAACCATATTTTTGCTATTACCAATCAAAATTCAAAATAAAAAAATATCAATTACTTTTACTTAAAATTTCAGACCTTTTACTCGATTTATTCAAACAAAATTCAAGCAAATGGTATGAAATTTTAATAAAAAGCAATTGCTTAGTCTTTATTCATACGGCCAAATATGAATGGTTGCTGATACTCAAGTAAAAATATCCTTATGCTCGAAACTCACTGGCGAACAACGAATTACATATACATATCGTCGTTTAAAGTACAAAACCGTCATTCTGCAAAACCGCGTAACTGACATTGGCTGCCAAAAATTGGATTTGCTCACACAAGCTCTTGGCTCAATCCTTATCCATTCGTCCTGAAATATACTAGCCAGAAATGCGATTTCTTTATAAAAAAGAGAACCATTTTGAAATATGAGTGCTTTTTCGCTCTAGAAAATAATTTATACAACTTCACATACGCGGTTTGGCATTTAGTTGATACGCGATTTGCACTTTAAACGACGATATGTATGTCAACACTTGGTTTGAGTCACTGCCGGAACTTTGCGAAGAAGGGAGACAATTGGAAAGTGTTTCCTGCTCGCGATTCAAGCTGACAAATAGTTGCTTTACAAAATAAGAAGAAAAATAATGTGAATACTTGTTTCTTACATATTGAAAAGTCAAATGAAAGTTCTTATGCATTCTTTACCTCTATACTTCAGCAATCTCTTTTAGTTATGTATTTCGTTCCATATTTCACCAGCTGACAGATATTAATTTGCTAGCATATCCATCAGGTGGTTGACTCTGGAAAACCTAAATGCCAGTGCATCACAAGCTTTTTCAATTAACACTACAAGCACATCCATAATTTAATTTATTATTTTACTATCCTCCTAGCCATCACTTGCCACTACTGTTCCGTTGCAATGCAATCTTTGGTTTAATGTAATATCCGCTAGTAGCCGGCGGCACCACAGTACGTACATATGTACGTATGTATGTACACTGAGCCATTTCATTTTTATCGGAAATACTCGAACGAGTTTGTGGACTCATTCTCCACAGAAGCAGAAAAGTGGAAATTTTGCACACAAATAAACATTCAGAGGCGTTTGATGTGTAGGTCGAGGTGCTCACTGTGCTTTCACCATGGATGCCAATGTTTGCCAAGCCCGCTGGTCGTTTTCAGATCCAGCTCGTTGCTTGACAATCTATGAATGTAAGTAACTTACTGATAAATACATATACATATGAATATATATGTATGTATGTAAGTGGTCATCTATGTATGCATGTGATGAGTTGATTTTGATGCCTTCGCTCTATTTGCTGCTCTAGTCTTGTCATGTTTCAGTTCTCGTTCAGAACGCCTACTCGGCTGAATGGTGGCCATACTACTTGCAATATTATGGATCAATGTGGTGTCTGTATGTAATTGCTTTGGATTTTTATTGTTGTCATAGTAAACGATGCTATCAGCAGTTAAGTGCAGACGCAATTGTGGTAGCTGCCACTTTAGCGGTTTTTGTGGTTGAGAATATTTCCCTCTTCCGCCCTGCTTGTAAATGTATTTTCATTATCCTTCTGCATATACACTTCGTGCATGCACTTGTACATATGGAAGTGTATATGTAAGCTAGAACACCCTAATTGACTGATGGACTATTTTACAGATTTTTTCTGTTATGCGAAATAATGCATAGGAACAACAAAGTACAAATGCATTCTATCCAAAGTGATTGATTTTCATTTGTGTATGCACATAAGGGTGGTAAATAAAGGAAAGTCGGAATTTTAATGCTCTCGCCCCGCCCCCTAGGATTGCTCTATACGGAAAAAATATTTTATTTATTTATTTATTTACCTTTCTTATTTTGAAATCAAATAATATTTAGACTGGAAATAAAACCTGCGTAAATATAACGAAAACTTGCGTAAATTTTACGAAATTTTTCGTAATTTTGAGCCACGAAAGTTTTCGTTGATTGTACAAAACCGTTTTCGTACACACTACGAAAATATGAGGCATCAGATTTTTAGTATATTTTACGAATCGATTCGTACTATTTACTAAAGAATTTCGTACTATTTACTAACGAATTTCGTACTATTTACTAAAAAAATTCGTACTATTTATTTATTTTTTTACGAAATTTTTGTAAAATGCACAGAAATAATTCGTATATTTAATGAAATAACTTTCGTAAAATCTGCTCTTGTTTCGTAGAATGTGCGATTTTGCTTTCATTCTCCACACTGTAAAAAACATATTACGAATTATAACACAACACTTTTACTTTATTTTTATCGTTAATTTTAAGCGTTTTTGTTTATCAAAACGTTTTGCAAAAACGCTTAACATTATTGATTGCAATATAATGAAATTGTTGTGCTATAATTTTAGTCATGTTTTTATAGTGTTAATAATAAAAGCAACCATACGTTCTACGAAAGAAGAAGAATTTTCTGATTACACTTAGTTTAGAATTAATAAAAAAAAGGGTTATTTTACCTAAAATAAAACTTAAGTATTTTATTTATATGCATACGAATAGGTTCTGTACTACATATTTTTTATTGCTTAGGCTTCATTCAATAAAGTGTATTGTGCGCAAAGTGTTAAACTATGAGACTCAACAAAACTAAATATAATAAGATATAGAAAATATGAAAGAATATCAAAAATACTGGTTTTTCTTTCTTAAACATTATAATATTTTTATGTAGAGGCACTTGGCAGATTCGCAGCTTCACGATGTTTGTTTTCTTGACGACTATATAAATTAAAGGAAAATTCAGTGAAAAGTCATACATGTACTTACTTTTAATTACATTAAGTAGTGCTCTTGGCTTAGGCTTGCCGTTGATAGGTAACTGATGAAATTGCCTATTTATCAAGTCCCACATTGCAGCGCAAGGCGCAGCGTAGGCGAAGATGAAAACATTGTATGCTTAAAAGGATAGTATATCCACAGCATTAATATTTAATTTTGTATTGTTTTTTTATCCGGCAAATCCCTTTTTAAAACGTTTAAAATTATATTATACGTTTCACAGCAGCCAACAATTAATTTCGCAATGACACGCGATACAAAAACTACGATGAAATATTAAACTGCCGGTAATTGAGTATATTGAACGAAAATATTAGTATGTTGTACGAATTTAAAAACATGTTTCTGCATTAGTACTTTATACGAACGTATTAACT